GGGGTCTCCTTATGTACCTACCACTTAATTTTTATCGAGCTCGTGCTCACTTTATTAAATTTCCAGGCAAATCCGACCCTAATACGGTGCGCCATTTCTGACACAATGAGCCGGCTAGCTCTTGAACCTAGTTGTTGTTGTTGTTGTTGACACAATGAGCCGGCTAGCTCTTGAACCTAAACCAAGGGGGGTCGACAACGGAACTCCGTTATCTGACTGTGTGTCTGATTTACAGCTTTCATAAACTGAAACGCCAAGCATGAACGTGTTCCGCGTCTGTGAGACAATTGTATACCTCAGACTGGCCGTGGGGGAAGATACGTCCAGGAACTGAGCCGAAAGGGGGAAGAATATATGGGGGATGCTTAAACTGAACTGAAGGGGGAAGGGAAAGGAAAAAGTCTTTTTAAAACAAACTTTTCCTCCTGTGTATACGAAATTAACCTATATGGCGATCGCTATCGGACATCCCTTGAGAAATTAATTTGCACAAATGTTTGCCGTTAGTGCTTTACAGTGCACATCTACCTTCTGTCCTGATCTACAAGTGTCAAACCACAGCCACGTCAAAAGGATGATTCGCACCGAGGTCGTTTTAGAGCGACAACGATTCAAATGCTCAATTACCTTTTAAATATCCCGAATACGCTTTTCCGCGGTGTACGACTACTTACGAATTAGAAATCACAAAAATAGGGCAATGACATAGTAGGTAAACCATTTTATGGCCCTTTTAGTGTTAAACAGGGCCCCTAAAGATGCCAACTATTGTTCTCTTTTATCCCCAGGGTGGCTTCACCCGGAAGTATTCACTCAACTCCAAGACAGGCACGTTACTTCCGGACTTCCCTAATGCCAGGTTCCTCATTCTTCCTCTGTCAGTGCCCAGGGACAAGGTGAGTACTACCCAAAACGAGCTGTTCAAGTTGTAAGAGTGTCGTACTCACAATAGTAATTAAATAGGTGGTTGGTGGGTGCTGTGATGTGGTTCCCTCCTTCTTTCCTATCAAACATGTGTCGTCCTTATCTCTGTCACAACAACCCGCAGGGCAGAAATTAGAGACCTCTGACGCGCGGAGCAGGTCCTGTAAGTTCCGAAATGAGAGATTAATTATTAGACTTTCAACTGTTTCTTTTCACCATTCCTCGTTTAACTTAGTGAACACACTTGTTACTATGCTATTCAGCTGTTGTCGTTTCAAACTTGTATTTCGATGACCCCCTAGAATTTAAAATTTTGGGCAATTTTGCGCTTTGAAAAGCACGCTGCACTGTTTATAAAGTATAAGAGTCTTCATATTTTACTTTGCAACAACCACAATGATGATGATGATGATGATGATGATGATGATGATGATGATGATGATGATGAT